TTTTTATGAAGCAGCCCTGGGAGCTTAACAGTGACAAGATCTGCTGCCAACAACAGGCTAGTGGTTCAAACCCATCCAGAGGCTCCAAAGAGAAAGGCCGGGCAATCTGTTATGTGCCATCGAGTTGCCTGCGACTCATAGCGACCTTATGTACAATAGCTCTGAAACCTGCCCTGTCCTGAGGCAGTCTCATTGACTCCAACACCCCCATTGTCCCAGTTACTGTCTCAATCCATCTCATCCAGGGTCTTCTTCTCCTACGCTGTCCCTCCTCCCTTCCAAGCATGTCCTTCTCCAAGGACTGGTCCCTCCTGGCCACATGCCCAAAGTGAGACAGCGTCAAAATCCTAGCCTCCTAGGAGAAACTTGGTTTCACCCACTGCAAGACAGACTTGTTTGTTCTCTTGATCATTTAAGACTCTTCTCCAGCACAACTCAAAGGAATAAAAAATTCTTCTGCCATCCTTAGTCATTGCATGCTCTCTGATGCATAGAAATAAGTGTGATGATTATGGCCTGAACCAGGAGTATCTTAATCTCTAGGCTGACATTGTTGCTTCTCAGTACTCTGGAGGGATCCCTGACAGCAGGGGTTTTCCTAGTGCAATTTGTCTTTTGATTTTCTGACTTCTGGTGCCAATAACATTGACTGTGGAGCTGAGCAAGCTGAAATTGTTAACAACCTCAACCTCTTTTCCATCTATAATGCTGCCAATTGGCCCAGTGGTGAGAATATTTGTCTTAAAGTTAAGCTTCAATTCATATTGACAACTATAGTCCTTGACTTTCTGTAGCAAGCACTTCAGATTCAGCAAGGTTGTGTCATCTGCATATCACAAGTTGTTGACGAGTCTTCCTCCAATCCTAATGCCACATTCCTCATAAAGTCCAGCCTCCCAAATGATCTGTTCCATATATAGACTGAAAAGGTATGAAGAAAGGACACATCCCCGATGTACTTCTTTCCTGATTTTGAAACATGTAGTGCTTCCTTGCTGTGTTCTGAAGACTGCTCGTGGTCCAAGTATAGGTTTCACATGAGCACAATCAAGTGTTCTGGGATTTCCATTTTCCTCAAGGTTAGCCACAATTCGTTGTGATCCACACAGTCAAATGCCTTTGCATGTCAATGAAACACAGATAGACACTCCTCTGGTACTCTTTGCTTTCTGCCAAGATCTGTCTGACTTTGGCAATGTCTTTAGTGTCACAGCCTCTTCTAAACCCAGCTGGTATTTCTGTCGATGTATGTTCTATTTGTTTTTGGATAATCTTTAGCAGGATTTTACTGTGATATTGTAAAATAATTTCCACACTTTATTGGGCCACCTATTTTTTGGAATTAGAATAAATATGGACCTCTTCCAGTCAGTGACTAGGTAGTTGTCCTCCAGATTTCTTGGTACAACCTTTTGAGCATGTCTAGGGCAGCATCTGTTTGTTGAATTATGCCAATTGGTATGCCATCAATTCCTGGGGCCTTATTTTTTGCCAATTCCTTCAGAGCAGCCGGAACTTCCTCCTTCATCACAATTGCCTCTTGATTATATGTTGTTTCATGAAATTCTTCTCAGTTATCTTTTGGTAGTGACTCTGTATACTCCTTTCATCTTCTTTTAATGCTTCCTGAATCATTCAATATTCTACTTACAGCATCCTTATGTATTGTAACTTGAGAGTTGAATTTGTTCTTTTAATTCCTTCAGCTTAAGAAATGCCGAGTGAGTTTGGCCCTTTTGATTTTCTGACTCTAGCTCTTCTTGTGCTGCCCCCTGAAATGCTCTGTTCAGTTCCTTAACTTCCTGCTTTCTTCCCTTTGTTTTGGCTTTCTGTAGCTCTAGTGCAATATTTAGAGTCTCTTCTGAGTCATTTTCTTCCTCTTTTGTCTCTATAATGACCTTTTGCATTTTTCATGGATGACAGTCTTGGTATTGTCCCACACTGCATCTAGTTCATTAGTGTTCAAAGCATCAAATATGTTCCTGAGATGGTTTTTAAATTCAGGTGAGATAGACTCGAGGTCAAATTTTTGGTTTCTGTGGATTGATTTAACTTTATTTAGCTTCAGTTTGAACTTGAATATGAGGAATTGATGGTCTGTTCTACAATCAGTACCTGGCTAGTTTTCACTACTGATATTGAGCTTCTCCAATGCTTTTCTCCAAAGATATAATCAATCTGATTCCTGTGCAGACTAACAGGTGAGGTCCACATATATAGTCATTGTTCATGTTTCTTAGAAAAGTTTTTTGTAATCAATAAATCATTGATTGTATTAAGTCCTATCATTCTATCCCCAGCCTCATTTCTGTCACCAAGACCATGTTTTTCAACTAGTGATCTTTCTTCCCTGTTCCCAACTTTTGCATTCCAGTCACCCATTATTATTCATGCATTCTGGTTGCATGTTCAAATGATTTCTAACTGCCAAAGTTCACAGAATTCATCTATTTCTTTCTCTTTGGCTTTAGTTGGTATGTATATTTGAATGCTAGTGGCTTCCACTAGACTTCCTTGTATGTGTATTGTATTGATATTATCCTGTTGCTCACAACACTGTATCTTAAGATGTATCTAGAAATGACCTTTTTAACCATGAAAGCAACACCGTTTTTTCTCACCTTTTCATCACCAGTTAAAAGATTATATGATCATCTGATTCAAATGTCCTGTGCCAATCCATTTTATTTCACCAATACCTAGTATGTCAATATTTATGTGTTCCATTTATTTCTTAATTCGTTGCCGCAAATGACTGTAAAAAAAAAGTGTTTCTAAGCACGGTCAATTAAAAGTATGCGGCAACGTGATAATGATACCCAGTTTTCCTAAATTCATGCTTCTCACATTCCATGTTCCAATTATTAGTTTCTGTTTACAACTGTTCCTCCTCCTTTGTAGTTCCAAATTTGAGGGCTCAGCCTCTGGTGCCGTATCTGCTAGTCTGCTCTAACTAAGTGTGCTGTCTTGTACCTAGGGTTTTTGAAGGCCTGTATCCGTTTCTGTAAAAATTAAAGCCAAAAAAATCCCCTGTGGTAGTAAGATCCACGGTCACATGGGACTACTATGAATCTGGATCAGCCCAGCGGTAAATACAAACTTCCTAGTTTAAGATCTCTTTAATATTTAAGTCTTGTTGTTGCTGTCAGGTGTCATCAAATAGAGTACAAGTCACAGTGACCCTGTGAACAGGTGACTTGACTCATGCCCTATCCTGTGTTATTTTTCTCATTTGGTCACACACTAGATGTCAGATAACTGTGTTTAAAACGATCTTCAAATTGTGTTAATTTTTCAAAAAGTATTATCTGCATAGCTCATTAAAAAAGCCCTTTCTAGGTGTTTAAAATGGTGGCATAGTCTGAAGAGAGTTGTGTTGGTAACCCAGATCCTGAGCCTCTCTAGGATCCACGCGTGGCCAGGAGGAAGAGACAGACAGAGACAGACACCCAATCAAGATGCTTCCTTCTTAAAGCTGGGTCTGAAAAATCCTTCATTGAAAACAGAACCAACCTTCCATCATGAAAAAGGCTTAACTCATTCAATGTTATTCATAGTACATATTTTCATTTTATGGGCTGTTTTAGAGTCAGTAACCAGTAGATTACTTCGCAAATTCTTTCTTTCTGATAGTTCCTGGATTTTTCAGAAACAGCTAAGCAGACTTCAATTTTTCACAAGTGGGTATCAGTTGGCACAAATCAAAGTGTTGTCATGAAATATAGCATATGAGGTGCCAAGATAGTTTTGAGAGAAAGCAGCAGATTTTATCTCTGAAAGCAATGTCTCTTATAAATAGCATTTCAATGCTGACAGTTAACTTTATTAAAGTGTTCAAATACCAATTTTTAACCACTAGAAGAACAACCTAACTTGTGGGAAGGGACTGGAGAACATTATGCTAAGCGAACGAACTCAGCCCCATAGGGACAAATACTGTATAAGACCATTATTGTAGAATGTGTTTGAAGATCCCAGGGGGTGGGGTGGGGGTTAATCATAGGGTTGCACAATTTGATGGGTGGAGGGAGGGATGGGTGTGAAAAACAATGTATATAAACTTTTTAAGTTTAACCAGTATAAAATAAAAATTGTATTAAAAAGAAAGTTCCCTGAATTAATCTCCTGATTCTTGTTTCTGTCAAGGTACAACCGCTGCCATTGCCTTTGCCCACAGTCGGAACAAGTGTAGTGGTCAGCTCCAAGCAGTCATGTATCTGCCCATCTCAACAGTGACAGAAGCCACAGCCAGCCATGTGCTGGGCCCCATTTCTTTACCCTGGCCTGTGCCCTAGTCAGCCTGCAATAAGTCCAGAGCACAGACAGCCCCTGCATCTTCAGCCTGATGTCCAGCTGGAGAGATCACTATTCTCCTTAGTCTCATACGGTGAAAAGAAAGCTGACTTACAGATCCTCAGGGACCAAAGTGTCACTGTAGATCATCATCCAAACTTGTCTTACTGAAGAAAAAGAAACTCACTATAAACCATTCACTTGTACTATTTCCATAACTTCTTCTCTGCTGGTATTGAAGTTGCTATGTGACTTCAGAAATGTCACTTATAATATTTGTAAAATGAAGGGGTTGAACTGGAATTCTTGTTCTTTTCTGGTTTATAACTTTGTCTTTATAATTTACCCAAGAATTACCGGCATCATTACCTATTCTTAGTCATGTATGCTTTCTTCAAATATTTCTGCTCTTAAGTATTATGTGGACATATTTAGATAGAAATGATGCTATGTAAATGAAAAGATCCCTGGTGGCACAGTAGTTCAGCACTTGGCAGTTTGCTCCCACCAGCTGTTCCACAGGATTTGGCAGTCTGCTTCTGGGTATAGATTTACACCGTGGAGGTATTTGGGGGTGGTTCCACTCTATCCTCTAGGGCGGCTGTAAGTTGCAATCTACTCAATAGATGGGAATGGGTTTGGTTTTGTCTATTTAAAACGTAATTTTATCACGCTAAAAATTTTAGAGGTGGAACAATTTTACTTACCATAGCCAGCTGTCTGCCTATGTTTCCTACTGTTACTCCTCCTGAGAAGAAGATGCATGGGAGCCAAGAGCGAATATAGAGGAAATCTGGGGATGTATACCTAGAACAACAACAAGGTCTATGTAAATCATGATACTCTTTCTGTGCCTTAACAGGCAATTCAATTAAGTTTGGGTCAATTACAAGTTCACAATTTTCTTTGGTAGTGATACATTACAATTACATATTAATAATGAAATATTACAAAATGTTAATGAATATCTGATTCAAGAATAACTAGCATGTCTGTAAATTTCTTAGCTAAATCTAATGTATGCTTGTTATGCATTTTATAAAAGCCAAATAAAACAAAAAACATATCCTAAACTTACTGGGTATTTTAAATGTAGTAATCCTATGGTATGAATAGAAAAAAAATCAGTATCTGAAAACGTATACTTACTGATAAACGCCATTATATACAAGAAACTGAGTGATGAGAGTGGCTAGAAACGCTATGGTGATGCCAAGGCCAAGACCACTTCTTGAACGATCAAATGTCCACCACAGGCCCAAAGACAAGGCAGCTAAAGTCAAGGACAGTTGGACATTATTAGCAAAATCCAATTTCTGGTAATGTGGAAGTTAAGGGAACACTTTGAGATTCTCAGTAAGATCAAAAACATTTTCTAAATAACAAGAAAGACATGTGGGTTTTTACTAGTGGGCACCAAAGAAACCACTGTCCATAAAAACTGCCCTTTGTTGTTTTGTGCTATCGAGTCAGAACTGACTCATAATTGACCCTCTAGTGGATTTTCATAGGCAATTAATTGCATGGGAGGAGACAGTCCCTCTTTCTTCTGCAGAGCAGCTGATGGATTCAAACCAGGAGACTTTGGGACTGCAGCACAGCTTCTTATCACTAGGCCATCAGAGTTCCCTTAAACACTGAGTGAGCGAAAAAGAACTTGTTGACTACAAAGTTACTGTAATCATCAGGATTACTTAAAATACCTCCAGAGTCACTGTACGAGGACATTTTTCTGAAGCCTATGTAAAACTTTGCTGGTATTTCAATCCTATCACATTTTGATATGTCACCTATTCAAGTCTTACTTCTCTGTATTCATAATCTGACGTGAGCAATCACTTCTGTCATGATTATATTATGGCAACTTCTAGTCAGAATGGCCTGCAGTCCACGAAGACAACAGCTGGTTTTCAGGACACTAGTTATCCACTGGTGACAAAGCAAATGTAGTCACGGCTGAGATGTCCTATCTATGCCTTATTTGTCAGTCTGTGTGGTACTCTGATGGTGCAAGCTATGCCACCAGTATGTCAAACACCAGAAGGTGGAGGACAAGTTTCAGCAGAGCTTCTAGCTTAGAAGGCAAGGCCTGGCAAGAAAATGAGCCAAAGGAAACCTCACTGGTCACAACAGAGCCCTGTCTGACACACCTGCTTTAGACACGTCAACATGAGGGATCAACTTTTTGAGGAGGATAAGGCGTTTGGTGAAGGAGAGGACCAAAAAGGGTGAGGGCGATCCCCGGTGAGGTGCTGGCACAAGAGGGCAACACTGGACGTGGACACACTAGTGACTGTGGGATGACACAGGCCAGGCAGCATTTCAGTCTGTTGAATGTAGGTCACCACATGTCAGAGCTGATTTGATGACAGCTAACAGCAAGATACATTTTGACACTCAAATCGGGACAGGGTTTGTATGAAGATTTGTAACTCTAAGATTCTACACTATAATCCACTTTCAGTAGAAAAATCCCCAATCTCTTGAGACCTGGTAAACTATAAGCAACCTTCTTGAAAAATGCTCTTGTATAGAGACATAAAATAAGATCTTATCTATGGTCTAGTGGGTCAGGAGTTGTGCAGCCAACCCAAAGGCAGAGAGTTCGAATCTACCAGCTTCTCTGAGGGAGAAAGATGGACAATCTCCTTTTGTGCAAATTATAGCCTTTGAAAACCTGTTAGAAGGTCAGCAATGTGTTGGTTCCAACTCAATGGCCGTGAGGAGACATCAGGAGACCTTCAATTAGGAACTTCTCAATGTAGAGGATAACAATTTTTACCCATGTCTTCGACTTCTGTGTTCAGACACAGGAAGTGGGCAGAGAGGCAGAGACAAACTTCCCCACCTCACCATGCACAAGGGCGTTAGGACAACAAGCAGAAGAATATTCTTATTATTTCTCACAAGAACTAACATGTCTTTGCTCTGAGAAGACAGAATGAGTTTATAAAAATTCCCAAGAACCAAAAGACAATGTCTAAGAAAGGAGAGAATAAACATGCTTATTCTCTCCTTCTGGGATTATTGTAACTGTTTCCTGAAATGAACTGGAAGGACTCCAGGAACCACAGCTAAAAACCCTTGTATGTGCAAACTAAGTAAAAGCTTCCAAGAAAAAAAAAAAACAAAACAAAAAACAAAACAAAAAACAAAACAAAACCCCAAAGCTTGCAAAATGAATTTTCCATTAACCTGTGAGATAATCCATACTCATGAAAAAGTTAACAAAATGCTTTGACACATAATCTAAGGAAATCTACACAACACACTGATTTAAGGATACAGCGCTGGCGTGGTTGATGCCAACAAAAACCGCAATACAGCGCATGACACTGGCCCACTCTCTCTTGAACTTGTGGGGTTCTCCAAGATGACTGTCGATGCAGGGGTACAACAAGCCGACAACAGCTGTTAAAAAACAGAAAACAGTATTAAAACACACCAGCTTAAAAGAAAATGATTTCTACGTGGTAATTAGCAATGTATGGCTTACCACTCCCAAAAAACCCTGTCTATCAGTCTTAGAAGAAATACCATCAGAACATGAAGTGAGGAGAGCAAGATTCTGGTTCACTTTGCATATGTTCTCAGCAAAGAGCAAGGGCAAGGAAAAGCCATCATGCTTGGGAAGGTGGAGGGCCAAGAAATACCAAGAGAAACCCTCAAAGAGTTGTCACACCGAGAAAAAGGACTGCAGCCCCAATAATGAAGCCAAACCCACCAGCAGTCAGGAAGAGAGGGCCCAGGACGGGACAGAACTTCCTTCTGGGGAGGCCACGGGCTGAACCAACTGCATGACCACTAACAGCAACTAAGGAAGCCTCTGAACAAGTCCTCTTTCTGGAAAGTTAACGACTGCAATATTCAAAGCAAGATACCTTTTATGCTTTTGTTCTTTGAGTAACAGACTTCTGGGAAGTTGACTAAAATATCAGTTATCTGGTTTAGTTAAACATGTCCCAGTAAACAGAGACAGGAGTCAAGCAGGACATTTAATTATCCAGACAGGCTTAAAGTACAAAACCTGAAATGCCGGTATAATTAACTTCCTATTTTTACCAAGTGTCATTTCCATTTTAGAGAGAAAAGGTATGATTCCATAAATATCCCTGAGACCACAAGTCATATCACAAGTTTTTCTGGTCCTCACACCACCCGGGGCTGATGCAAAGCACACTCACACCTGTGCTGGCTGGACTGTGACTAGACTTACTTTTCAAGGGTCTTCAAGTACCTATATACCTTAGGAGACAATGGATACCTACATGTAGACAACCCTGGGGTTAAGTGCTAGGGGGCCATTAGGAATGGAATTGTATCCCCCTCAAAATATCTATATTCTGGCGGTGTAGTCCATCGCACTCTGCACCTAGTAAACAAAGTGCTATACTTCTCTGGAGGCTCAAATCTACCGAGGGCTCCTTGGGAGAGAGATGACAGTCTCCCCCCATGAAAATTTACAGCCTCAGGAACCCACTGGAGAACAGTGAGGGGTTGAAATTAGCTCAATGGCAGCGAGTTTGGGAAGTTTTTGGCTTTAAATCTATGGATGTAATCTCACTGGCAATAGATTTCTTTATTATATAATTAATCCCATCAACGGAGGGTGTTTTATACCAGTCACTTTTGAGATATGAAGAACAGATTAAAAAAAAAAAAACCAACAAAACAAAACCAAAACCACAAACACCTCAAACTCATGGTTGGTGAGTTGGGACCACGAACCCAGTGGTTTTTCAGAGGCCACAAATCGCAGTGGAGGACACTGTCTACCTTTCTCCTACAGACATGGGAAGAGAATTTCATACTTGATGAAGGAGGCAGAACAAGCTACTAGCTCAAGAACCCCAAGGATTGCTGGCTAGAAAAATGGAGGCTTCTGCCTCAGTGCAGGTAGAGTGTGCCTTTCTCTAGTGCCTGTGTCCTACCTGCTGGCCTCCTGAAAGATGAGATGGTTCTGTGGGAATTTTAGAACAGTACTAGGAAACTCAGATGGAGTATGTGAGAGAAAGGGGGTAAGACTAACCATCAGAGATTGTTGTTCCCTGTTAGCCTTGATTAGTTTCTATATGTGAAGCACTAAACTGTGGAAAAAGAACTGACAAGAATATCGGACATATAGCCCCAGTTTGTCCTCTCTAATGGGATGTGGCTCTTTATGTTTGTTTTCCTGGAATAGAATACCTGGCACCTAATCCCAATTTGCTCTCTAATGAGATGAGGCTCTTTATGTTTGCTTGCCCGTGTGTGGAAATGATGTGGATTATGTAACTGGAAGACAGAGAAGAAAATGACCTTTGTGGTCTGGAATAATTAGGAAACTTAAGAATTTTAAGGAATGAGAATACATTTGGCTAGCTGGGAAATGTACAGTGTCCCAGAAGAGAAGTAAAGTTGTAAAAATAAAGATAGGAATGAACAAAGTGGAATTACTAAGAGTGGGACTAGATATCTAATGGGCTTGGACTGTGAAGAAAAGAGTTCGCTATGTAAAGTGCATCCAAAGTACTAAAGTTCTTGAGCCAGGTGCAGTGCCACCTTGATAAGGTAGGAAAAGGGACCTGCCTTCGGGTGCTTGAAAGAGAAACAGCAAATATAGGAAGAACAAGTTTCAGCCAAATAATCAGAAGAGTTTCAGTTTCGAATTTCATATTTGCTTTAACCAAGATGTAATTTTGGAGTTTAGAAAAAAGGGAGCCCAAACAATTTTATCATTTTCACCACTGCAACTTAACCTTACCTTTTAAGGTTAAAAACAGAATAGGTGAAAATGTAATTATGTAGTAACTTTTCCTTATGTTCTTGGCTCTGATAGTTGAAAAAAAAAATACTGAGTTATTGAAATTGTGTTTCAGAACTAATAAAATTTAATAATAATAATAAAAAAAAGAAATACCTAGAAGTCACAGCTAAACCATGGAAAGTTGGGCTCAATTAAAGTATCTGTCATTCGAGATCAAGCTTTTGGTTTAAAGGAGAAAACCTGCACCAATAATCTAGGCTTTCTCACAAACATGAAAACATTCTACCCCATATTTGATAACTACAGTAAATACATATACAGATGCTCTAGTCAAAAGGACACAGAGGTTCCATCATGAGACTGCCTCTTGCTATTTTAAGTGGGTTCCTGGGACTACACTGTATGCCCACAGTACAAATGTTGGAATCAGATTGCCTTAGCTTAAACACAGTGGCTCACCCAACTTCTCTGTGGTTCTGTTTCCACATTTGTAAAATGGAATTATAGTAGTGCTGTACAGATTAAAAGTAAAGCATATAAGCTTAGTAAGCTCTTAGTGTTTCCTACAGAAAAAACACGGGTGTACTTGTCACAGAATATAGTCGTTACTTAGATGCATGCTTGCTTTGTCCATCAGATGCTTACAGAGAAGTCTTGTAGAACGTCCCTTGTATCCAACATCTGCCAGGTGAGCCAAAAGAAAGCACTTGGCAAGTGCTTGTTAAAGAAAATTGTGGACTGGAGAAATAGTAAGTGATTTGCTGGGCCTGTAATATCGACTCAGCATTTTCATAAAACTGGCTTAATGAGAACCAACAAATGTCAGCTAAAGAAAAGATTGTTCTCCTGTCCAGTCAGCCTTCACTTGTGCTATGCAAGGCATTTTTGTGACTACTTAGGTATAGTACAATCTCATCTCCTAAGCACTATTGCATTTGAACCATTCCAGGAGGGAATGACCTGGCTTCTGGGCACAGTTCACTTGGCTATCTTGGCAAAAGGAAGTGCTGAGAAGTTGCTCCCTTGGCAACCACCTCTTGAACACATGTGACAGATTTGTTTTCAGTTATCCAGCAATGTAGCATGTTCACTTGGGCAGCCAATAGCAAGGCGGTACTGCTGCTCACCAGTTCTGCAGGCAACCAATCACAGGGTTGCTAGCTCTAGATGACAGCTGCTGCACTCCAGGCAAGGCTGTCCTCAGTCTGCCCACTAAGAGGGACCAGATCCCAATCAGTTTGGCATAAGCATTTGCTTAAACAGCCAATTATCTCCTTGCCTCATCGCCATCACTGGACCTCCTCAAACTTAGAGAGCTGTTTCACAGACTACCATTTGATGGTCTGAGGTCCTCAGACATTCCTCTTTTCCTCTACCTAAATAAAAAACTTGCAAATGCTCACTTTTAATCTATGGATAACTCCATTTTCAAATAAATATTTCTTAAAGGTTAGTTTTTTGGGGAAGAAAAAAACAAAAGAAAAACCCAAAGCAAACAGATACTTTTCATTTCTACTAGATAAGGAAACATTTACTTACCAGCTGCTGTCCCACAGCAGGGAGGGACCCACCAGGCTGAAGAGAAGATTGTAGCAATTACTTCTTCAGGGAAAAGAGTGACATTCCTCTGTATCTGCAGCAGGTTTAGCACCAGAGCTAGGACAACTCCAACTGAAAATAGCACGAGGCTCCTTTGCACCAAGTGATGATGCCAACTGTTGGTGTGGCTGCCGCTACTGCTGCAATTGTGGCCACTCTGACTATTGCTTCGATGTCTGTGTGAGGGGTTGGAGTGCTCTGCGCTGGGGTCGGCCAGCGGAGCAGGGCTAGAAGCAGAGGAATTGATCATCTCTTCAACTTTTGCTGCCAGTCCTCCAGCAGCCACTCTGGGGTGGTTTTTGTGCCTCTCACTGGCAAGACACGAACAACTCCAGAAGTGGTCGTCTAATCTGGGCATCGGTGCCCTCCACAGTGTGAGATGAGTTTCCTAGAAAAGGGGGAGGGGGTAAGGAAGGGAAGAGGGGAGATGAGTTCACAGTAAGTTCATTTCAAAGAGGTAAAGTCAAATCCTGTGGCCCAAGTCAGCTTAAGGAATTGTCTGCCAACTCAAAGGCCCAGCGTTCCAATCTACCAGCTGTTCTTGAGAAGATGGTTAGACAATCTCCTTCAGAACGATTTTAGAGCCTCTGAAAACCTGCTGGAAGATCAGCTCTGAGTCGGTTCCCACATGACAGCTATGAACTGAGCTGGTCCAAATCAAGACACACAAAGCTATACTTGTCCTCACCAACACATACATTAACAACAAAAAAAGTTCCTCGAGGAGTTACTACTGACTAATGGCGTAGGTATTCTCCAACAACCACAAACGACTTACATCACCTCATCTCTATTCCTCTGCCTCCATCAACATATTAAAAGGGAAAAAAAACACAACTCCTTCTACCCACATATTCCAGTTGGGTGATACATAAGTTGCTTTAAGACATGCAGAAACAAGGTGTTAAGAGAAATATTATTGATTCTCTTAAAAGAAGAACCTTTTAAAACTACCCGCCTACTAGGCAACCCTACTTTATATAAATCATGAAGTTCTGGCAGGTTCAATCTTAAAGTTTCCAAGACACTTTTCCCATGCGCCATGAAACTTTGAGCACTGGGCAGATGAAAACATCCCCAAATCCCAGCGAGGGCCCTCCATCTCTGAAAGTTAACAGAATCCAACCAGATGGATCTGAAGGAGAAACGCATGGTCAGAAACAACAAGGCCGGGGGCCCCCTTCCGCGGATCGGGAGCCCCTATGGTATATGTGCGCGCACGGGTGCGCTCTCCACCCGCCGGGAAGCTCCGAGTGACCGCTGCCTTCGGTTAGGGGTCGTGAGTGTTCAGGCCTCATCATCGCGACCCGGGTTGCAAAGTTCCTCCTCCGAGCTCTTTGAAGAACGAGACTGTGAGACTACGGCCGCTGCGCCCGGAGCAGGGCGCTCGGCTCCCGGGACCCGCACCTCCCACACTCCGCCGGCCCGCGCCCCCGGCCCCAGGCTGGCCCGCCCGCCGTACCTGCCAGAAGGAGCCCGCCAGCGGGCTGTCCGCGCTGCAGGAGGCGGGGCTGCACAGGAGGAGTCGCCGCGACTCAGTCTGGCTCTGAGTCTCCCCCGTAGCCTCGTTGGGCGGTAAAAGGCTTATATCGCGAGCCGGGAAGCCCCCGAATCACGTTACCCGCGCG